CAGATTTTAACAAAATATGTGTGAAATCACTCATGAAAAATATGATGCTCTCATGAGAGTAAATAGAATAGGAAATGTTGATAGTCCATAAAATCTAGCAGTATGTAATGCAGGTGAAAATAAGGATGGTGCTATAAAGAAACTAGAAATGACTATTTCTTAAATGATAATTAAAAAATGGCCAGCAAAGGGAGCTTGTGTATTTATCTCATATGGATAAAAGGTTGGAATGGGAAATGTGATATATAAGAAAACAGATAAGCTAAGTGAATACTGATGTCAATTTTTCATGAGGAAAATCTTGCTAAGAATAATATTACACAAAAAATGAAAGGTCATGTACACACTGCTATATTTAAAATGGATAGCCAACAAAAACCTATTGTGTAGCACATGGAACTCTGCTCAATGTTATGTGCCAGGCTGGATGGAAGCGGGGTTTGGGGGAGAATGGATACATGTATATGTATGGCTGAATCTTCATCGTTCACCTGAAGCTGTCACAACATTGTCAATTGGCTATACCCCAATACAAAATGTTTGGTCTTAAAGAAAAAATTAAAATTTAAAAAAAAATCTTTACTTTAAAACACAGCATAAACAGGACTGAAAGGACATTGAAACAGTGGGGAAATTATGCAGTAGGTATGATAAGACATGCTATCAAGGTTATGCTCAAAATTCTTTATGCAGAGCTTTAGCAGTACGTGAACCAAGAACTTCCAGATGTACAAGCTGGGTTTAGTAAAGGCAAAGGAACCAGAGACCAAATTGCCAGTATTCCCTGAATCATAGAGAAAGCAAGGGAATTCCAGAAAAACATCTACTTCTGTTTCATTGACTATGTGAAAATCTTTGACTGTGTGGATCACAACAAACTGTGGAAAATGATTAAAGAGATGGGAATATCAGACCACCTTACTTGCCTCCTCTGAAACCTGTATGCAGGTCAAGAAGCAACGGTTAGAACTGGACATGGAACAACAGATTGGTTCAAAACTGGGAAAGGAGTGAAATGAGGCTGTATATTGTCATGCTGCTCACTTAATTTATACGAAGAGTACCTCGTGTGAAATGCCAGGCTGGGTCAAGCACAAGCTGGAATCAAGATTGCAGGAGAAATATCAACAACTTCAGATGATACCACTCTAATGCCAGAAAGTGAAGAGGAACTAAAGAGCTTCTTGATAAGGGTGAAAGAGGACAGTGAAAAAGCTGGCACAGCATCTGACCCAACACTTCATGGCAAACAGAAGTGAATAAAGTGGAAACAGTGACAGATTTTCTTTTCTTGGGCTCCAGAATCACTGTGGAGGATGACTGCAGTCATGAAAATACACTTGCCCCTTGGAAGGAAAGCTATGACAAATGACAAACTTAGAGAGCATATTATAAAGCAAAGACATCACTTTGACAGAGGGTGAGATGGTTGGATGACATCTCAATGGACATGAGTCTGAGCTAACTCCAGGAGATGGTGAAGGACAGGGAGGCCTGGTATGCTGCAGTCCATGGGGTCACAAAGAGTTGGACAGGACTGAGTGACTGAACAACAAAAGTGTGTGAAAAGAATGTGCTTACCCAACAATAGTCAACTGATATCATATTCCCTTATAATGAAGTCAGGAGGTTATTTTGGAAAAAAATGTTGACATAAGTATAATGATGCTAAAAAATGCACATCATGTATTATTATTAGGGGAAAAAGAGAACATTATTTTATGGTTGCCTTTTTTTAAAGATCAAAATATATGCCAAGAAAACAGCTAAAAGGCTATAAAAATTAGCAGTGATTATTTTTGGATTGTATATTACCAAGTTATTTTATTATTTCTAAGTTTATTTCTGCTTGTTTGTATTTTCTAATTTTCCTACAAGGAATATGTATTAATTATGCAGTAGAATAAAATTATAAAATTTGTCCTTCACAAATATATTTTACTGTAATTTCCATGGCTGATTAAAATTACAGTTCGTCCTTTTCTCTTCATACTTTCCTGGAATCCTAGATTGATGAATTGAATTTTAGATCTTTTTCTCTTCTAAATACTATTGTTATTTGATTATGGGGTAAACAAAGATTTTTTAAACAATAACTCCAAAATCAGAAATTAGAAAAGACACAAGCTCTATGTTCATAATATACAGTGTTACTACACCTGACAGAACCCAGGAAAAACACAAGTGTTCTAGGTCAGTTTATTTACTGGCAGGGTGACCTTAGGTAAGTCTCTGAATCTTGTGACTTTTCATATTCCTTCCTCATCTAGGAAATGGGGACAAAAATATCCAAAATGCCTACTTTCTGGGGCTGCTTAGGAATTAAGTGCAACAAGGGTGATTAGAAAGCTTTAAAACCAATGAAGAGCTACATATACGAGAGGTGCGATTCTCAGTATTTTTTTTTCTTTGTGCTTTTCTTATTCATTACATGTTCCTCATGTTTTTAAAAGATGCCATAAGTCTAGTATTTTCAAACTAAATGCATCTCAAAGCCTGAGTGGATCGGCTCTTCATCTCCCCAAACGGCACCACTCTGGATATTAATAGCCAAAGATGGACTCAGATGTCGAAGAGTTACCAGTGTTCTACTTCCCGGCTGCCTGCTGAGTTGTCTTTGAAGCTCCCGTGCTGTAGAACGGAGTAAGATAAAATATGAAATAAAAGGCTTGTGTATATTAAGATGGCTTCCCCTCTTATATTTTTAAAGAGGCCGAATGCTTCCACAGAGTTTAGGCAAACACAATCCTGATTATTTACATGGCATAATGGAAGTAAACACTCAAGGAGAGAGAAAGCTGATGCTTTTACTCAGCATGCTATAAACCATTATCTCATGTTTTCTATGGAAAACAGTCTCAGCCGGGAAATTTGGTAACTCAGTAGGCTATTAATAGGATGTGGAATGTGATTACTCTTTTTGGATTACTTCAATATGTAATTACTTTTAGGAGCTGGTAGAAAGAAACTCTATTAAATGATAATTATAGGACTGTATTTGCTTTAAGGTTTTGTAATAGCTCTAAACATGGGAGTTTTCATTAACTGTTTGCCATAGTTAATAAAGGCATTTTTCTTAAAAAGTAGCCATTCCGTGCAAAAGTGGTGGCTCCACATAGAATTAGTTTCTTATAGGAAAGGGCAGGGGAAATTGATCATGCAGTAGGTTGGCTTCTCCATGGTAATATAATCTCCTTGAAAATATAGGTGGCATCCCCGAAGTATTGTGACAAAGTGAACTATTTATAACTCCCGAGAGAACAATAGGTCTTAGCATAATGCTTTCAGAGGGTTAACAGCAACTAAAAATTAAAGAACACATAAAATGAAGACAAGGCAGGTGATGGCGGTGAAGTTGGCACAATAAGAAAAGGCTAGAAACATCAGCTGTTTCAGGTTTCCAGTGATAAATAGGGATGTTGCCAGGAATACATCCAGGAGTGAGACCTCAGATATAAACTGGGAATTCTATGAATACACAAATATGAGGATCATAATGAAATGCTCAAATCAGCCCAAGAAGTAATAATGAAGTATGTTAGACCATATCCCTTCAAATCCAAGGAGCATGGGAAACACTTCTCTCCTTTAATAATTCACCCAGGAGGGCACAGTGGTTCAGGCTGTCACCTCTAGCCTTCTGAAAGTCCAGGTTTAAAATCTAGGTCTTGCTGTCACATGGCTGACTTACCTAATGGCCTGTCCCTCATTTTCCTCATCTTCAAAATGGGAATGATAATAATTCTTACTGTTGAGAAAATTTAATAGAGTACAGGAAGGATCCTGGCATGGTGTTTAGAACATAGTTTGTTGTGGTGGTTGTTTAGTCACTAAGTCATGTTCAATTCGTCGCGACCCCATGGACTGTAGCCCACCAGGCCCCTTTGTCCATGGGCTTTCCCAGGCAAGAATACTGGAGTGGGTTGCCCATCTCCCCATTCAGAGGATCTTCTTGACCCAGGGAACGAGCCTACATTTCCTGTGTTACAGACAGATTCTTTACCACTGAGTCACTGGGGAAGCCTCTAGAATATACTAACTGGTATTTATAATATTGATAACACTGATAATGGTGATGGGGAAAGTAGTAGTAATTAGTTTAATTTAAGAAGCTATAAGCCTGATCTCAGTCACCAAGAAATCAATATATAACCTCCCACATAGCTAGCATGTATCTAATGAAAACGTGTGAAGAAGGACCACCTTTTTTCCTATATTGAATCATGGCATTTGTCTTCCTGTTTTTACAGACTTGCATTGTCACAGGCTTATAGCAGCAGGTGCAGACCAAAATAGTCTGGCCAGGAGTCAAGAAACTTATTTTTTGATCTTGGCTCTGCTGCCAGCTTTGTCTAGGGACTGAACTGTTTGGGCCTACACAACAACAACGAAAAACAACGACTGCAAATAATTTGCAAGTCTAGAATCTCCTTGACTGATGAAATACGAAGTAGAAATCCCATCAAATTTTGCCATGTTCACAGCAGAGACTAATGCCCTTCAGGCAATAATTCTACAACCACCTTCAGGTATCAAGCTCTGTACCCAACCACACTACAATAAAACTGTGCTGGAAAGGGAAAGACAGCTGAAAGATTACATTGCCTTAGAAAGCTGAACTAATCTCTTTTAATGCTTTTCTTGATATCAATATTCATAAAGCCATACTGTCCCCTAAGGGTTTATCAACCTCTTTAAAAAAAAATGAAGTTGTTTGCATATTGACCCTGTAAACGTCCTTACTTGGTTTCCCCAGCACTTCATGAATATCAAAGAGAACAACAACAACAACAAAACCAGTAAAATAAAAATAGACTCACTTATTCCTATGCACCAAATGAGCCCACGTCTCAAAATAAAGGTGGCATTATTATTTCTTGTTTGTTCTTCAACAGAAAGGCATTATTAAGATTAGGGGGGAAATACTTGTGCTCTGCAATATAAAAGCCATTTGTTTTCCATTTCTACTTCTCTGAACGCACAGGAACCTTGGTACGAACCTCTGTTGTCTCTGACTGTGAAATTTGGATTGTGAATGATTTCAGGGGGTAGACTGAAGATAAATCTTGGTCCATTGGCTGTGTCATCCTTGTCATCTGCACTAATTGTAACAATTGGCTGAAAGAGAAAGGTGGCCCATAAATAAATCATGCTAACATTGACACATCATTTATTCAAAAATTCCTGGCTGGCTAAGAAGCCTGATTTTAATTAGAGAACTTAGCTCCTGAACTAAACCAGGGCTCTGAAGCCTTCTTGGGCAGTTGGGAAGTTTCTCCAAGGGATGCTCTCAAAAGCAAACTCTGGTTCTAAATGATTGCTCCTAGCCAGGGCAGGGCAGCATTACCTGGTTGGAATGTGGCTTGGTCTGGTCACTCTCACAGATGAAGCCTTCATAAGGGGCAGCAAACTTGGGAGCATTGTCATTAACGTCAAGGACCCTAATGGCCACAGGGACTTTGGCTTCCTGATGCCGGTTGTCTGAAAGGAGAGAATTCAGATGGTAAACATGTGCAAGGGAAGGATCCATGTTGGTCCAAGGTTCCTCCCGGGAAAGAGTGAGCTCCAGCTTCACTCAGGCCCTGCAGGCAAATGCACTGTTAGCACAAAAGTCACCTAAAACCCGAAGCATGCCAAGTCCAGTATGAGAGTGATGTCCTAGAATAAAGGCCAATGTTAGACTGGTAAGAAATAAACCACTTTTCCCTTTCTGCTGAGGTTTAATCCCAAACACTTGTAGTGTAGTGTGGCTCCCGAGACTGTAGTCTACAATAGCAGTTCTCAAAGGAGGGTTCCCAGGACAGCATCAAACAATTTGGGAATTTGTTAGAAATGAAAATTCTCAAACCCAACCCAAGACCTGAGTTAGAGGCTCTGAGGGTGTGGTCCAGAAATCTTTGTTACAACAAGCCCTTCGTGATAATCCACTGCATGATCAAGTTTGAGAATCTCTGGTCCTTGACTCTTTGCAACCCCATGGACTGTAGCCTCCAGGCTCCTTGTTCATGGAATTCTCAGGAAAGAATACTGGAGTGGGTTGCCATTCCCTTTTCCAGGGAATCTTCCCGACCCAGGGATTGAACCTGGGTCTCCTGCATGGAAGACAGATTCTTTACAATCTGAGCCACCAGGGAAGCCCCTTAAAGGTAAACAAAAACCCATAAATAAATCTTGGCTCTAAGGATTCTGCTGCTCTGGGTTTAAACAAAACTGAGGATAAACTGGGGAATCTTTCAGTGGTGGTGAAGTGTTTCAAGCTGCAACAGGCTATCAGCTCATGTGCCAAGCCTGTATCCAGTTCTGCCAAAGAAAATGGAAACAACTCCATTTGCTTATATGTCTTTCTAGATAGATGACCAAAAATAAATTTTAAAGATTGAAAAATATGTTTAAGACTAAAAAAAAAATTGTTCTATCTCAGCTATCTGTTATTTTCCAGAATATAGACAGTCTGAAAGAATAATATTTGGCAAAGTAGAATCAAAACCCTTAGGATAATACTTACGGATTTCTGCTGCAAAAACTGATATGTTGAGCCAGGCAGTTTCTTCTCTATCCAAAGGTTTTGTAGTTTTAATAAAACCATCCTCTGGATTAATAGTGAAAAACCTGTCCAGGTCAGTGTGACGATCGATTGAATACCTAAGCAGAATGCAAATGAAGCAATTAGACGGAGACATTCCAAGCAGCTTAATATTGGAATATTTTCTCCATGCTATATTTAAAGCAACTTTTTCAATGACTTGCTTGAGCTAGATTTTCTTTTTAATCAAATTTACTTTTCAAACTCCGTACATGAATCTTTTATAGAAATCATTTTGCCACATTGGAATTCTTTATTCAGGACAATGAATGAAAGAGCTGTTTAGCATATTTGATTGAGAAACAGAATAATGTGCTGCATATTTGATTGAGAAATGGAATAACAGGCTGCATATTTCTTCATATTTACTACAATCATCCACCATCTGAATATTTATGAACTTGCATTTGGGAAGCGGGTTTACCTTGCTCCCAAACTACTCAGATAGTCACAAGTTTATGGAACTTTTGCCAGATTTTTGCATATGAAATATTAAATATTCTTAAGTTTACCTAAAGTTATCATCAAAGATCATTCATAGTCCAGAAAAAAATCAGTTTTCTTCATACTTAAAGGAAAATGATAACTACAGTTTGAGTAAATTTATTCAATGTAATTGGTTTTAGCGGTTCTCAGTAGCTTGGTTCTGAATTCCATTGTGAAATATGTAAAGCAGCCTTGGCCATTCATTTGTAGAGCATTCTCCCCACACTTTAATGACCCCCTGCTAAGCCTAACACCATAGTCGGAAGGTTTCAGCTACTCCTGTCCACTAGAAAATTTGCTTTTTTCTAAAAAAAAGAGTAATTTCTAGAATATTACAGGGCAACGTGAGGAGGAATATGGGTCAAGAGGAATGGTCTTTACTGAGGTGTAGTAAGGTCAAATAACTTGCCCAGGATAATGTACTAGAGACATGGCGCTAATAAGTGTTGACAGTTGTCCATTGGTTTCCATGAGGGACTGGATCCAGGATCCCTGAGGATACTAAAACGCATGGATGCTCAAGTCTCTTATATAAAACGGTGTAATATTTGCATATAACCTACACATATCCTCCTGTACACTTTCAATTATCTCTAGATTATTAAAATACTTAATGTAAATGTTATGTAAATAGTTGCTGGTGTTCCACAAATTCAAGTTATGCTTTTTGGAACTTTCTGGACTTTTTTCCCCCGAAATATTTTGGATCTGCAGTTGGTTGACTCCATCAATATGGAACCCATCAACGCAGAATCCACGGCTAAAGATGGCCAGCGGTACATATGTCTAAAGGCATTCACTGAGAGCCATACAACCAAAGAATATTAGAGATAGCAAAGACCCTGGGTGTCACAGAGTTTAATCTCTTTAATTTACAAATGATGGGATTTGCAAATGATCTATCTCCTGGTTTCTGGGGAGCCAATATTAGAACCTGGATCTTCCAGTTAGAGATCATGTTCTTTCCAACAAAGAGGAAATAAGTATGGTGCAATATATATTGTATATATAAATAAGTATACTTCATAAAGTATAAAACATGAGCTCATCCATGATACCATTGACTTCACAGCTCCCTATGGGAATGGAATGATGAGTCCCCTTCCCCAGTGATAAAACGGAAGATAAACTATCACACACCTCATAAATGTCAGTAGAGGGTCAGTGATTGAGCTGACTGAACCCTAAGCAGAGCTCTATGTGAAAAAAAGAGAAAAAAATAATAGAATATATTTTCCCTGACACCAGGGAGTTTACTATCTACTTGACAAGATAAGGCAGGTTCATGAGAAGAAAGATAATTAACAAAAGTGTTATTCCATACAGTGGAGCATGTGGATTTTGGTTTTGTAAAGTCCTAGGTACAAGTTCATGTCCCACTGTATATATATCAAGTGATACTGGAGAAGCCACTTAAGTTCTTTAAATCTCAGCTTACTTATCACTTAAACTAGAATATTAATAGTACCTAACTTCAAGGTCTTCTGTGAGAATGACATGAAATAATAGATGTTGAAGATGTATAACCTAGTGCCTCACATATAGTACACAGAACAACAAATATAGCTGCTATGATGTTTGCTGTTGTCACCGCTATCACACACTGGATAGATCATGGAAGTTCTCAAATGTCAGTCTACAGAGTATGATTTTCATCCTATAGGCAGTGAAAAAATCATGAAGGGCTTTCGATCAGAGGAAAAACAGACTGAATCAGACCATCAGGATGATGAATATGATAGGGTGGGCAAGGTAGTCTGAGCTAGTGAGAGTGGGGGAAGGAGCAGAGGAAACTTAAGGAGTTGATGTAGTTTTTAAGGAATATGAGGTGATAAGAGAGTTAGGTGTAGGAGTGACAGAGGGAATGAAAGACCATGTGATAAAGACAGAACCAGTAGGATTCAGTTGATATTTGGAGGTCTGTGGGAAGCTGGGAGAGTCCTAGAGAATTTTTAGCATGGGTGTCACAGAGAGGGAGGCATTGGGAAATACAAAACTAAACTCAACTTAGCAGGAAGGAGAGACTGAAATTCTACTAGGGCCATGCTGCCATGCCAGGAGAGGAGAGATTCAAGTCTAGGTTTAGACTTGACTTTAGGTTTCACAAAGTCAGGAGCAGAGCTCATCTTCTTCTTCTTTTTAAAGTACTCCACAAGAAGTATAGGCTCAAATATATCTTTCTAATGAATGAGCAAGGGAAGGAAGAAGGAAGTGGGTAAAAATGCACAGCAGATAGCAGAAAAAGTACAGAATTAGAGTCAGGGAGAAAGATCAGTCTAGAGGCAGAAAATCTGGAGCATTAACTCAATTTAAACAGCAGAATGGAATGAAACTGTAAATAAGTGGACACAGGGAGAAAGAAAATCTGAAGTCAAAGGTTGAGTCTCAGGGAGTCCCCAGTGCCTGGGCTGGGATGGAAAACTAGCAAAGACACCATGTATGTCTGAGGCATGAAGAGGTTACTGGCAATGAAGCTAAGAGGAAACAATATTTCAGGAAGGCAATGGTGAAGAAAGGGTCTCTAATGCTACAGAGTCTGAGAAGAAAGATTTGCAAAAACTTCCAAGTAGCTAAGAGTTTGGGTGACACTATAAGGCCCTACCTGTATGTCCAAGGATACAAATTCCCTTAAAGGTGAAGATAAGCACTCAGGAAAGTAGGTAGTCTGGCTAGAAAGCTTACCAAATAAAAAACTTTAAATGTTTTTCTATGAATTGTTTGGTAGTTCTAAGAACTAGGACCTGAGTAGGTGAGGGAAGTTGGTTCAAGGGCAGTAATCAGCATCTTTGGATAATTATAGACATGAAAAATGCCTTCACACACAGAATTGCTTCCATTGAAAATATGACCCAAATAACCAATCACAGATGTGGATCCCTGGAAATAATGAGGTGCCAAGGAAATGAGCGGTTGTTTCATGTGTTTTTATGTCACCACTTTTAAAACACTGCTAATGTACCTCAATATTCTAGGGCAAAGCTAATTCATTTAAAATTAACACCATGAAAATTTTTGAGTAGTTTAAAGGTGCTATCAAGCTCCTCAGTCGTTATGTATCTTCTTGCATACAGAGCACAGTACTCAAACTTTCCTGGGAAATCTTTCCATTAGTGCCTGCGCAGCCAGAGTAAACCACCCAAGGCAGATTCGGATTAAAATCCAGTCTCCAATACTGATTGGTCATGTAACTTTGAGTAATTCATGCCAGCACTTTGAGCTCCAATATTTCCATCTAATGGATCCTAAAGTGATCACTGTCTCAAGGTTGTCTGAGGATTAACTTATATAACTTAGTGCAGGGTTATCTGGAGTCAAGAAAATTGTCTTCCTTTCTCCCCAGAGGGGCAATGTTCAAAGACTTAAAGGCAAGTGAACAACATTTACATTTGGGACTTCCTTCTGCCCCGTCAGCAATGTTTTTGGTATAAATAGAAAAACTCCACTGTCCATGATATTTTTTTTTCATATTCAGATATACTTTTCTTCCCAGCTTTATTGAGGTATGATTAATAATAAAAAAATCATCTGTATTTAATGTCTAACAGCATGTTTCAAAATAAGTATACCTTGTGTAATGATTACCATGGTCAAACTAATTAACATATTCATTGCCTCCTCATATAGTTACCATTCATGTGTGTGTTTGTGTGTAGGAGTGGGGGCAAGAACACTTAAGATCTACTCTCTTTGTAAATGTCAAGTCCACAATACATTATTATTAACTAGAGTTACCATGGTGGTCAATATCCCCCCCATTTCCCCTACTCTCTAGATCCTAGCAACCACTGTTCTACTCTCTGTTTCTATCAATTAGACTCTTTTAGATTCCACATAGGAGTAACATGCTCTATATGTCTTTCTGAGTCCAGCTTATTTCATTTAGCAGTTGTTATTGTTTAGTTGCTAAATTGTGTTCAACTCTTTGCTACCCCATGGACTGCAGCAGGCCAGGCTTCCCTATCCTTCACTATCTCCTGGAGTTTGCTCACACTCATGTCCATTGAGTTCGTGATGCTATCTAACCATCTCATCCTCTGCCGCCTCCTCCTTTTGCCTTCAATCTTTCCCAGAATCAGGTTCTTTTCAAGTGAGTCATTTATTCACATCAGATGGCCAAAGTATAGGAGCTTCAGCTTCAGCATCAGTCCTTCCAATAAATATTCAGGGTTGATTTCCTTTAGGATTGACTGGTTTGATCTCCTTGCTGTCCAAGGGACTCTCAAGACTTCTCTGGCACCACAATTAGAAAGCATCAGTTCTTCAGCGTTCAGCCTTCTTTATGGTCCTGCTCTCACATCCATACATGACTACTGGAAAAACCATAGCTTTGACTATATAGACCTTTGTCATTTAGCATAGTATTCATCATTTAGCATTGTATCCTCCAAATACACATATGTTATCACCATTGGCAGAATTTTCTTTCTTCAGGCTAAATATCTGTTATATGGATATATGGATATATCATGATTTCTTTGTCCATTCATCTGTCAATGGAAACTTAGACTACTTCCATAGCTTGTCTATCGTGAATAACACTGCAGTGAACATGGGAGTTCAGATATCTATTCAAGATACAGCTGTTATGGAAAGCAGTATAGAGGTTTCTCAAAATGCAGATGGTGGCTTGTTCTGTGGGCTGTAACTTATCAACCCGTGACCTAGACAGACATATCCCTGGCCCTCTTTGAGTATGCCAATGGCAACACCATGCACGCTGTCACTGTGATGCAGCACGGTAACAGCTGCGAGGTAGAAGCTGCATCCAATCTATCTCAGGGTCCCTGGGAGAACTCCTAGAGGACATGGCACCCAAGTGCAGGTGGGAAAAATGAGTACCATGTTGCAAGCTGGAAAGGACAAGGGAGAGAGCTCCCACCAGAAGGAAGAATATACAAAGGCCAGGAACTAGAAAAGGACAGGAAATGGCCTACTCTAGCTGCAACTGAGAGTCTGGTGAGAAGGGAGAGAAAGAAAGCAGAGAGACCAGCAGTGACTGAGGGGTGGGGTGGGGAGGGGCCTGAAGAAGAGCTGAAGCCGAGTGAGAGACTTGAGATTATTCTGGACTATGAGGCCATGAGAAACAATTTGATCGTTGACTTTGTTGTTGTTGTTGTTGAACTGAAGCATGATATGAGGTTTGGATCAGTCTTGCTACAGGATGATGGAAAGGTAGGTGGTAGTCTGGGGGTAGGGAGACTATGAGGAGGCAGAGGAAGGAATCTAAGCAAGAACAGAATTCAGGGCGTGGCCACAGATGGATAAACGCCTGCTAGAATCCAGGGCAGGTTTCAGACAACTTTCCATTCCTGCCCCATATAGACATGCCTTGACTGTATGACTCAAGCTTCCTTCTGGTCAGCTTCTTTCTCATCACCATCTCATCTTCATCATCAAGCTCACTGGTTATTAGCTCAGGTTGGGGAGACAGGGGAGGCAGGGTTCCGTTTTCTAGTTTTCTTTTCTAAGTCACAAAAATTTATTCATGATAAGAAAAGCACTCTAAATTTGAGGGTCACTTTATTTTCTCTTCAAAGTGTTCAGCAGTTAGATAGACAGGGTTTGCTTTCTGAGCCCCCTGATCACTCTCTGGGTTCTTTGGTTAAGTCACTTTGTCCTGCAGAACCCCATTTTTGTCTCAGTTTAAGGGATTATAATTCCTATAAAATAATGTTGAGAGGATAAATTAGTTTATGTATCTGATTCCCCTTAGTGAAGTAACTGGAGCATAGAAAGGTATACAATAAATTCGAATTAGTTATTATTTCACAACCATTATTTATACTTCACCACAGTTCTCTGAGACAGATGGGTGAAGATAAGGTTATATCACCTACTATAACCAGGAAATCTGCTCTAGAAATTATGGAGCTTGAATGAGCCTGTCCAAATAACTGGAATAGAATTTTCATGCCTCCTAAGTCTTCATCTCGTTTACACTGAATGATATCTTGGACCCTTCTTGAAACTGAAGGATGTGGCAGGGCTTTCCTAAAACCTTTTACCTCTAGAATTCCCCATCCAGACTTTAAAAATAAGTTTCCCTGTACCTTATTGGGCTGTTGGCAGCATCAGGGTCTTTGGCATGCACTCTCCCCACCACAGTGCCAGGGGCTGCATTTTCTTGGACTTCGTGGATATAACTTGGGGCCAAGAACATAGGGGGCTCGTCAGCATCTTCGACTGCAATCTTGACTGTCACGGTGTCCTTGAAAGGCCCATTGCTGATGAACTTCGGGTCAATGTGCACATTGGCTGCCTCTACCTTCAAGTTGTATGCTCTTTTGGTTTCAAAATCTACAGGCTGGCAAAAAAAGAAGAGAAGATTGACAACCAATTCCTTGAAAGAATAATGGAAAAGAAAGACCTGATTGTTTTTATAGGGCAGCGTGAATAGTTGTTCAAAGAGAGAAAATCAGTGTCTATTCAATATCCAATTACCTGAGCCATTTGGTCAGAAAATCAGACAAATCAATTATTAAAACTTGGAATGTGTTTAATGGGTGATTCAAGGAGCACGGCAGACTCAGGAGGACCCCATCATCGAAAACGAACACATTCTCTGAACACACTAGGCTTCCCGGTTCAGTCACTAAAATCACTTAAGGAAAGGAGTTAAAGCATTACAAAAATAAATGTTGTAGCCCATTCTGAAAAGTACTAAGAATCTTGGTAATAAAATTACTCAATGAATTTTAGTCAGAGAAAAAAGTGATGTCCTGTTAGATGACTCTCCCCTCTACCCATACACACTCTGGCTTAATCATATTAAGAGTCTCATTTTTAAACTTTCTGACCACAGAACATTTCTCAAAGTCAAGAAATCTTACCAGCAGTGGTCCATAATATGACTTAATGTGGTTTATGGGTAATTTGAGTGGGTGGGTTTTTTGAATGACATTATCCTAATTTTTTTTTTTTTATTTTTTTAAATTTTTTTAATTTTTTTTTCCATTTATTTTTATTAGTTGGAGGCTAATTACTTTACATCATTGCAGTGGTTTTTGTCATACACTGAAATGAATCAGCCATGGATTTACATGTATTCCCCATCCCGGTCCCCCCTCCCACCTCCCTCTCCACCCAATCCCTCTGGGTCTTCCCAGTGCACCAGGCCCGAGCACTTGTCTCATGCACCCAACCTGGGCTGGTGATCTGTTTCACCCTAGATAATATACATGTTTCGATGCTGTTCTCTTGAAACATCCCACCCTCGCCTTCTCCCAGAGTCCACAAGTCTCTTCTATACATCTGAGTCTCTTTTTCTGTTTTGCATATAGGGTTATCGTTGATACTACTATCCCTTTTCCAATTCTTCCATTCCCAAACACATCAAGGACATCTCAGTACTAATTCTTACCTGTTATGCTTCCTAATCTCCCTTTTGAAAGACTATGATAGAACTCACTAGCTAGAATGGAATGACATTACTTTGTTTGGACTGAATTCATTTTTAGGTTACTTCCTATTTATGGCAAATGCTATAGAACAGTCTGAGTACTTCCCAGTTAAAAGAATGTATACTTGTACAAAATTCAATTGAAAGAAAAACAATTATAAATAATATAGATTTTACACAGATGTAAAAAAAATGAAGTAACATTTGAATGGCTGTCATTATTAAGAAACTGATGGTAAGCACTCCCACATTCTGAAGGAGGGGCGGTTCTGTGAATCAGTCAGCAATGGGTGAAAAGTAAAATCACAGAGGAGAAGCAAGCCTTCCTGCCCGGAAACAGAACTTTCGAATTAGCACTCTGAATGATGCTGAACTCCCAAATGTTTGCAAAGAGTTGGGTCTTTTAAGGCTAGCATCTGCCTGCCATGTTGCTGTCATCTGCCTGGTATTATTTTGAATGGGCATATAATCATAGGGCTTAGTCCTAACCTACTTCTACAGAATTCTAACTGAGGATGGTTCCAGTTTCAGGAAGGTTAAAAGCATTCAACACCCTTGACACTTTTCTCCCCAGATTCAGAGAACACTCCCTTTTCTTGAAGCAACATCTGTCCCCAGCTGTTCCATGTTCCCCAGCAGTCTCTTTGTCCTTCACTGGGTTACTGAACAGCAGAAAGGAATGGTATTTATAGGCTGAAGGTGTGAGACTGCTGCAATTCCTCAAAAATCTCTGTGATTATCAGATAAAATGAAAAACATGAATACGATAGTTCTGAGACCAGGCAAGAAGAAATTTTCTTCTCCCAGATAATCTGTTGATTCACATGGTAACAGAATGTTTTGAACTTGACTTAGGTACATGCCTAAGGACCCAGAGCACTGTTTCCACTGGAAAGCCTTGTTAATGTTAAGGTTGGTATAGTATAGTTTGCCTGGTACTTGCTGAATCTAGAGCAAAGCTCCCCAGGTCTTTGCAAGTGCTTGTCTGGAACACCCTCTCTAGTTTGGTGAGACTTTACTGTCTTCTGGTGGTCATCCCAGGATTATTAAATCCTCTCCGTCTCCCCCAGATTAGATTAGTCTGGCCCCTTAATTGCACATCTGCAGCCCCTTGTCCCCCACCCCTCCTGAGTGAGGAGCATTCCAAAGAACTATACATGGAGTTGTGCTGATCTTTGCTGCCCTCTGCCTCCCCAGCATCCAGGAATGACTATACCAAATGATAGCATGCACCAATCACTGTGACTGAAAGGAAAGCAGAGTTGATGGACGGACAATATTTAAGCATCTGCCTCTAATTTATTCCCTGCCTCCTTCCAAAAGAGACTTAAGGTAGTTTCCCTATCCATGTTATGAGTAGTTGAAATAAAGCTATATGAAGCTACATACTACATAAACCATAAAAATCTCAATATTCCCGAGTTTACTAATCCCACCTCTAAAAATCCTGCCTGAGGGATTAATTCAACAGAAAACCAAAACAAACAGTATTCAAAAATGCATGATGCTGTTTAGACATCACTGAGGGGTTATATCTAATCCTGGGAAACATACACACAAAACACCAAACCCAACTGTGAGATTTTATTAAGGAAATAATGGTCCATCAATAGGATGGGATGTTATATAGTCATTAAAAATGATTATGTATATTATATAACAGCATGTAAAACGTTTATGATGTGCTATTAAGTTAACACATCTGATCACTCTATGACTGCAACTGTGTTAAATGTTATACGTCCACATCTATATATATGTGGACAGAGAACATAAAGAAACAATCAGGCATGCATGCATGCATGCTAAGTCACTTCAGTTGTGTCTGGCTCTGTGACCCCATAGACTGTAGCCTACCAGGCTCCTCTGTCCAGGGGATTCTCCAGGCAAGAATACTGGAGTAGGTTTCCATTCCTCCTCCGGGGGATCTTCCCAACCCAGGATCGAACTCACGTCTCCTGCAGCTCCTGCATTGTACGCAGTCTGTTTCTTTTTAACCACTGAGCCACTAGGGAAGCCATAATCAGGCATAAAAGTGGCTTTATTAAAATTGTTATTTTTAAAATACTTAAAATGCCTTCTAATGCTGCTCTGTCACTGCTTTACAAGGAGTTTATTTGTTTGAAAGTGAATACCTCAGAGACCATGAAGAGATCTCTCAGTAATAACTGGGAATCCCACTCAGTCAAAGCTGTTGCAGCATCGGATTTTCCTAAGTCCACCAAGCCTCCTATAGGTCTCATTTTTACTTTGCACTGGTTCTTCTTCAGGTAGTCACACAGAGATCATCTCAATATCCTGAAGGCAGCTCCTCCGTCTCTCTCTCTCTCTCACACGCTTATAAGCCTGAAACTCACTGTGTCTGACACAGGGTATTCAAGAAATATTTATTACTTTCTAAGCTATTCAGTACAAGAAAGTGAAAGTGTTAGTCACTCAGTCATGTCCAGCTCTTTGCGACCCCGCAGGCTAGAGCCCTTCAGGACTCTTTTTTGTCCATGAAATTCTCCAGGCAAGAATACTGGAGTGGGTAGCCTTTCCTTCTCTAGTGGACCTTCCCAACATAGCCATTGAACCCGGGTCTCCTGCATTGCAGGCAGATTCTTTACCATCTAAAACACCAGGGAAGCCCATTCAATACATGAATAACTCCTAAGTAACTCTTTTTTTTTTTTAATTTGGTAACGTCTTTTTTTTTTCCATTTATTTTTATTAGTTGGAGGCTATTACTTTACAATGTTGTAGTGGGTTTTGTCATAAATTGACATGAATCAGCCATGGATTTACATGTATTCCCCATCCCGATCCCACCTCCCACCTCCCTCTCTACCCAATCCCTCTGGGTCTTCCCAGTGCACCAGGCCCGAGCACTTGTCTCATGCATCCAACCTGGGCTGGTGATCTGTTTCACCCTAGATAATATACATGTTTCGATGTTAACTCTTGAATTCTTTATGTTTATCTCTTCCGCTTTCTTCCAGTCTTTGTAATTTCTCTCTTGAATTACAGCAAGAATTTTTCAACTGGTCCCACTGTATCCATCTCAAAATCCTCAAGTCTGAACTCACTCAAGTTTCTTAAATGTGTCCTGTTTTCATCAAGACCAGTCCTTCATGCACTTGTTTTCTCTGAACCTCCTCCAAATTTATCCGTTTGATAAATTCCTACTCACCTATGAAGACTTAGCTCTAGAAATGCTCCCTGTAAGCGGTCATCCATGACCCATATTCATAGAGACTATCATGCGTTATCACAGTTGCTTCTCAACCAGGAAGTGATTTTGCTGTACCTCACCCCAGGGAGTATTAGGCTTTGTCTGGAGCTATATTTTATCATCACAGCTGGTGGGGCTGGGTGTGTGCTTTCTGACATCAAGTAAGGGGAGATCAGGAATGTTGCTGAACACCATACTATGCACAGAACTGCCCCCTACAACAAAGAAGTCTCTGTCCTGAAATGTTAACAATCTCAAGGGTCAGAAACAACCCCTCTATTTTAATTGTCTTTTTTGCTTAACTGTCCTGTTAAATTCTGATCTCCCTGGGACCAGAACTCTGTTTCTTCCATTTTAGATGTCCAGCCTCTCACAACGGGCCTGCCTGACAAATAATAAAAACTCAATCACACTTGGTAGAAAAATAAGTTGAATGAATTAAGAAACAAGTGGGAAAAAAAACTATATTAGAGAATATTTTTAAAAGGCACAAATAGTTTCATGGGTCTCTCTATATCTTTTTATATTATTAAATAATATATACTGCTTCCTATAAGGATCCATCATTTTACTTTATTAAATTCACCTCTCAATATTTTTTTTTTCCTTCTGGACAGTTAGAACTTCAAGATATAAGTTTAAGCAAATGTTCTTTCACAAATGAAAGAATATCCTACTCTGTTTTCAACCTAAACATCAGCGCTTTATGGAAGATTATTCTCTTGCCTGAAATAAACACATTGAATTGGGGGGAAATGTGCAAATTAATCATATGCAGAGAGCTCATTTGCGATGTGTTAGTCCCATGGGGTGATTTAAATGTTTCAGATTTTAGAGACACGGTGTGTGTTTATACCCTGAATACACTGAAAACAGGTGACAACCTTAGCATAACCAACTACCCAATTACTTGAACAGCCAAGGACGCGGGCAGGAATCGTTGATATCACTGCTCGTATGTCAGTGTCAGACAGAAGGGACAGTCATATTAATTAACAAAGCAAGTTGACAGCTCTGTGCCACAGGCCAATTCACACAGCTACTTTCCCAGAGGAGAAACCAGAGGGAGTGATTATGGCAGCCCCTTGTGGCTGGTGATTAGGCTTCAGTGACTATACCATTCATCATCACTAATGTTGATTTTTCCATATATCCAAAGTTTACCACAATTTCCATACTCTTTTATGACAGAGTCACTCCTACTTTCTTTTTCTTTGGGTCCCTTCATACTTCTCCCAAACCCAACAACATTGCTTTCGTATGTTGTGAAAACTGGGCTTCTGAGAACACATCTCTCCCTGCTCCCTTTACTAAAAGATTCCTTCCAGGAATCTCCCTCCCATCCCACCTTTGCCTCCTCTCCAGCAGCTGAACTCTTTATTGATTCTTGAAATTAATTTTTTCATCGGTGTTCCAGTCCAATCTTTCCCATCATACCAAGGCGCTTAATATTCAGGCTACAAAACCAAGTTGAAAATGAATGTTTGATTAAAACCAAGGTAATTCCATCATCCAATTCAGATTTGATACTCCATATACTTTAATGATGTAGAGGTATTGATTTCTCAAGTGGTACATCGGGGGGTAATCGTTTTATTAGAATATCTACTGAAAGCCAATCAAATCTGGCTCTCTTTTATAAAACCTTTTTGGTCCAGCTATTTCCAGAATGCCTTAAGTGAGAAGATGTTCCAGAATACACTAATTTTGAATTCCATGTCTTTAAATTGCTAGCTGTGTGATTACAACAGGATTAAATTATTTAACCTGTCTGAGCCCCAGCCTACTCCTAACTAAACTAAGGTATCATTGCCCACTGGGATACTACCATCTACTTTATATGATTTTCATCATATAAAACAAACAAAGGTTACTATGAGTCACAGGCTGTCTCTGACCAATATTTAGAATTGAGTAAATGTTAGATTAAAAAAAACAAATCAAGAATAAACAATAAGCTCATCTTTGTAGTGAATTAATCCCAGGAACACATTTTTAGCAACAATTTAGCTGACTATGAGGGAAGATCCATTATTTTTGTTTCTCAGGCTCAGTTCTGAGAGAAAATTGAGCAGAGGATTTGGTTCACATTTCATAGAAGGCCCAACAATGTAACAGACCTTGGAAGTCTGAGATGGGAAAAGTTCTGGAGAACCTATATTAATAGACTCAGCTTGGCAGATCCAACAAGGAAACGTCATGCATGCTGAGGGCTGCTTCTCCAAAATATAGGTTTATCTAAACATCTTTCTTTCCCTGAGGAAACTGTGCCAAGTCATACAAGAACTAATCAGTAATCTCAGAGCAAGTATTATAACCCCCTCTCTTTCTTCCAGTTTTACTGAGATATAATTGACATACAGCACTGTATAAAGCTTAAGATATACAGTATAAAATCTGACTTTCACACATCATGAAATCATTACCACAGTAAGATTAGAGAACATTCATCATCTCATATAGATATAGAAGAAAAAGCAAAAATTTCTTTTTGATGAAAACTCTTAAGGATTTACTCACTGAACAACTTTCATATATAACATACAGTGGTATAAATTATATCCCTAATACTTATTCATCTTATATATAGGAATTTTTCCCTTTTGACTGCCTTCATCCAACTTCACCTTTCCCCATCCTCCACCTCTGATAACCACACATCTGATCTCTTTGTCCAGGAGTCTGTTTTTTGGTTTGTTTTTGAAAAATAATTAACCTACAGTACCATGCTAGTTCCTGGTGCCCAACATAGTAATTTGATATTTCTATACATTTTGAAATGGTAAGTCTGATTTTCATCTGCCACTATTGTGGCAAGATATTACATTATTATTGACTATAGTCCCTAAGTTGTATAAAAACGAACTATAAATCTCAGGTAGGCATCATCAGTGCCTTCTGCCAGATCCCTCTGGAATATAGTTCTGTTATCTCCCCAAAACTCAAAGCTCAACTGCAAAGTCTGAGGCCCGGCCCTCAGTTGCCCATATTCTCAGTTTTTAGCCTTCAACTCTTTGTTTCCTGCAGTGTTGTCCTGGCAAAGCAGGCCACACTGCTGCCACATCTGACTCCTCACCCTAACTCACCTTTTTCAGTTTCACCACACCCTCCTGTGTTTCATAGTCCGTTGTGATTTCAAACAATTCCACCCCATCTCCATCAACAATGTTGTACGTGACTAAGCCGTTTTCTCCAATGTCTGGGTCTTTCGCTTTCACTCGTCCCACTTCCTCCCCTGGGACAGCTGCTTCTGACACAGACATCTGGTATACGCCTAGAAGAAGAAGATATCTATTTTTATTTCCCCTTTTATTTGGCAGCTGGAAGACTTTAGATTTCATTGAACCCCAATAAATTTCTCAAAGGGTTTGACATTGAGCTCCCTATTGATTGAAAACATGAAAAGAAGTGAATGGATGCGAGGAAGATCCCACACAGCTTGCTTGTCAAAGAAATGTTTTCTGTAAAGAATGATGAAATAATATCAGGGTCCAGGGTGGTAGGGTGGAGGTACCTGCCACATGTGAGAAAGGAAAACAATGCCCAGTTACATTGCCCATCAGGAACTGATGGACGGCCATGTATATCTTCACACATTCAAAAAAAAAAATCAAAACCTCTTTTCACGTCTTTGGAATGGCCCAGAGTTAATTCTAAGGCTCACATATGGCACTCACAGGTGCCCAGAAAGAGAATGTCTTCTCTGTTTAAAAGCCTTCTGTAGCTCCATATTTATTTTAAAGTCAAATGCAAATTTTGTTCTTCAAGGTCATGACCCCTCCAGCTCTATATTTGACTCTCTTCTTACTTTACCTCCTTCACCATTTGATGAATGGATATCTTATATGGAAGGTTTCTCACAGTGTGACATTTCCACATAGATTTTTTAAATACGTATTGGGAACCTACTATATGCCGAGCACTGTCCTAGCCTTTGGAAACTCAGTAGTAAATTAAAGAGTCAAGATTCTCCCCTCATTCTACAGAGAAAAAAATAATCAGATGTATACATATTCTGATATTACTGCTAAGAAGGAGAAAAATACAGTAAGGGACAAAGGATAATGAAAGAGTATAAGTGTGACTCTGTGTAAGTGTATGATGTGTGTGAGTGTGTTCATGTGAGTGTATGTGAATATCTCCTGAAAGGACTGGGCCAGATAAATCATGTGAATATCTGGGGATAAAAGTACAAACAAAGCAAACAGCAAACTGGAAAAACCCTAAAGTGAAAACAATGAATATATACAGAACAGTAAGATCACAGGTGTGAGTGCAGCCTTCTGGTAGGAAATAAGTGTAAACAGGCTGGGGCCTAACTACACAAAGGGCATTGCAGGAGATGGAAAAGATGTCAGATTTTCTTTAAAAACGTGTAGGAAGTCACTGAAAGGTGTCATTAAAGAAATAAGATGAGATCATCTTAATTGTATCATCAGAATTAAAAAAATATTCTCTGTGAAACACTGTGGAGAAGCAAAGGTCGGAAAACCTGGCCTCTATCACTGCCAAACCTAGTGGTTTGGGACAAGCTACTTGAGCAATTTACGCTTTAGTTTCTCCTTATGTGGATTTTATCAATTTTAATACTCTGTGTACATTTATCTATATTGTTTGGCTGTGACTGCTTTCAGTTCAGACCCATATTCAACTTAAACACACCATGTCCTCCATGATAAAGGACAAGTCGGAGAAGGGAGTCTCTGTATATAATTACCAATTTACATGAAGGTTTAGCAAAACTTGCTCTCAGGTAATTTTCTCTAAATCTCATTCAAGTCCACAGCTATAAAACTGGTTATCTTCACAGTAGTGATTAACTTCACTCTATGCTTGTAGGTGAGCAAGGACATTAATCACCGCCTGCTAAGAGTCCTGCATGGTCCTTTCCATCCAGCATATCAGGCAGTTTTAGAGTGTGGATAATGGAGCATGCAGTTTCTTAGAGTGCTCTATGAGGCTTAAGCTTATTGGGGATACTGAACCTTGTGCTTGACCAAGCAAAGTAATCTTCATCTCTTTGAGGACTTTATGAGAACTGCTGTCACCCTGTAATCCTCTACCTTAACATCTCCCTTCCAGAGACTGTTGTCTCTGAATTCCTTTGAGTGACCATGGTGCCTAGCTGGGGCCATACTTGGTGGCCTTCCCTATTTTCTCACTTGTAAAAAGTGCCATTTCTATGGCAATAAACTCATAGGCTCTACCAGCTAATCTAATAAAAAAGCTTTCATGGTGAACTCCCCATGATCTATCAGCACTAGCATCATTTTGATTATATTGTACCTCTGTCTGTACCTACACTGTATACATAACCAGATTTGTGTTCAAAATCTAGCTTTGCTGTAATCTTTTAGGCAACTTACAGCACCTTCCATGGAACCCAGTTTTATCTGTGAAAAAGAGGCTCTCGTAGAGATTTGCAATAGTAGTAACTATTGATTGAAGGCGTTATAGTTGTTGTAATTATGATTATTAATAATGACCTTTCAAATATTTTTTTTCTTTTATTTCCTGCTGCAATCTTATTAATTTTGCAGGGCCATAGTCACCTAGATAATAATAATGGCTAACCTTTGTTGACAGCCTATGCCAGATATCATTGTAAGATTCTACAGTAGCTCATTTAGTTCTAACAATATCCTACTAATTAAAAATTAAAAAAAATATTTATTTGTCTATTTCCCTGTGTTGGGTCTTAGCTGTGGCATGCAGGATCTCGGCACATGGACTCTCTAGCTGTGGTTCAGGCTCAGGAGTTGCAGCACGTGGGCCCAGTTCCCCCAGAGCATGTAGGATCCTAGTGCCCCAACCAGGGATTGAACCTATGTCTCCTGCATTGCAAGATGAATTCTTAATCACTGGACCACCAGGGGAGTCCCAAGATCCTATTAACTGAGTCTTGTGGAAGATTGTATTTTGCAAAAATAGTCCAAACAGTATCTCCCAGCCCACATGCTTCTCTTTCAGAGACTTTAACAGTCCTTCCCTTGAAAGGTGGGGTCTATAAGAACTCCACTTAAATTTGGGCAGTCTTATGACTACAGTGGAAATGATGCTATGTGATTTCTGAAGCTTGGTTACGACAGGCAATATGGTTTCTACTTGGTGTCCTTGGGGCTCTCCTCACTTTCAGAACCCATCCAAGCCACTCCTTGGAGAGGCTGACATGGATGGGAAGCAACAGCTGACATTAACTTGCCAGCCACGTGACTGAACCAGTTTGGAAGTGGATCTTCCAGCCTCAGTCAAACTCTGCCAATGGATGCTGTGAAACAGAAAAAAAGCTGCCTCTTTCAGGTTTTGCCCAAATTTCAGACTCATGACAAAAATAAACAATTATTATTGCTTTAAAGCACAAGATTTGAAGTAGTTTGTTAGGTAGCAATAGATAACTGATCCAGCTACTACTACATATTCAGGTTAGAAATGAGAACACTGAAACAGAAAGGTTAATTAATTACTACATCGCATCATGAGCGCCTAGCAAAATGGACTTTTCTCTTCCCAGGGTTGTGAAATATTCTATGTCTCCACTTTCTCCCACTACCTCTCCTCCACTTAAGATTTCTGTTGTCATTACTGTTGTGTGTGTTTGTGTGTGTGTCTGTGTGTTTCAAGAACGTTATAAAGGGCCTCCATTACTCTAGATTCCTTCTGGAAAGTTGAGTACAGCAGGGACGGGTCAGAGGAGAGAGTTGGCTGTGGCAGCATTGGAAAGTGAAGGCCAAGCCCACCGACTTACTCTGTGGAAACTTTGGTGGGTTGTCGTTGACATCGGTCAGTGTGATCGTCACTTTGGTTGTCCCTGAGAGTCCACCCATGTGTCCACCCATGTCCTTGGCTTGGATCACCACATGGTACTCCTCCTTGGCCTCCCTATCCATGTTGGGAAGGGCCGTTCTGATGATGCCTGGACAGGTGAGCAGGGAACACCACAGACAGTCATTAATTACACTGTAACAGAGAAGAGCTAGGCACGGGGAGGCAAAGATGAATAGAACAGCACCTGTCTGCACAGAAGAGTCACTCCAACATATTTATCATCAAAAGTAGCCATACTTGGAGCATCATATAGACATATTTTCCAGCAAATTACCATCGTTATTAATGTAGCATTAAAATGTTATGTTTTATATGTTGTACTATAAATACAAGTAATAATCTCATCTGTCTCAGGTGTAACACTTAATTAAAGATGCTAAAGATTGATACATTTGAGGACCCACTACATGAGCATCCATAATATAAACCCATGCTTTTGGACTGTCAGCAGAATCCTCTGACTATCAATGCCTGCATACAATTCTTAGAAACATTACTCTGGTCTGTTTTAAGTTAAAAGTAGATGGCAATATATTGAAATGTTAATATTAGCTTTTTAAGTGTATAACAAATGGGTTAGAAATATACACAAAGATTATGTCAACTCTAGTTGTTTACTATCACCTATCACTGACACGGATACATTAATAATTGAATTCTACATGATCTCTGGATATTAATGCATTACTGGTGTGGAAACCATGTTCATTTAAAATCTTTTGGGAATGCATGCAAGCTTTTTCTGTCTGTAGATGTAGCAACATTTACACTAGAAATCTAAGAGAGTGCCATGGAAGCTTTAAGTCCTTATCTTTTTCTGACCCCGATGTTTATATGTTTCTCAGCAACATTCTTCATCTTACTGAGGCTCGTTTTTCTTGTCTGTTAAATAATTTGGTAGGTTCAAATTGCTGCTTCCTAACATGAGTCCCTGAGATAACGAATATTGCAACTAGAGTCCCTCCAGCAATTTTAGTATCTCAAAAACTTAGATGCAATTCCACATTTATCCTTGGCAAAATTAATTGGTAAATGCCTTTGATGAAATCATGGCAAGTAGCCCCTTAAACTGTGATCTAAAGCATAGTGTCTACAAATAAATGATCACATAGGTAAGTGGAAATTAGTGGGCAAAATATCTGATTGGCAGGCTATGCAATATAATATTAAACACACACACACACATATACATGTATGTGATAAATTTCAACTGTATTAATACAACTGGATTTTTTTGTAAATATCTTGCAAACACATGGGGGTATATTGTGGAAAAAAGAAGGGAGTTTGAGGTATAATACTGTGGACTGACAGTTTCACAAGATTTTAGTGTTTATTCTAATAAAAGGATCCTAGAATCAAATTTGGGACACATGGAGTGAAACATCTTGGTGTGGGTTTTGGCTGGTATATCTGTTCACTCTTTCGGTTTGCTATTTGTTTTCTGTAAGGATTTGCAGAACCTCCTTTTTGGATGTTAATGCCTGTTGGGAACCTCAAAGCTCAGCGGAGGAGGTGGGGATGTGCCATCTCCCAGACATACCTGAGCCTCATCAGCTTCCACCCCCACCACCCCCAACCTCGCACAGCAGTCTTCAAGCTTTGAGAGCTGCCAGTCTTTACCAGTCCACAAGTCCTATGGTCTCTTAATTTGGATCCACAGTTGAATTTTATGATAAAACATATTTAAAGATATATTTTTAAGTTGAAGTTGAATTTTAAGAACTGATATCATGAGCAAAGTTGCAGTCTAGGATTATATTTATTGCTGTGACATGGTGCAATACAAATAAAAGCAGTCATAAGTATAGTTCATTGAATGCTAACTACAGGCCAGGCAATGTGCAGTGTCTACACTGCACAATAGTCTTGTTAGGTGGCCCATTTTATATTTTAGAAAACTGAGACTCAAAAAGGTTTCAGCCAGCAGAACTGGACTCCTTATTCACAATGTGTCACAAATCACAATGCCATTCCATGGTACCTGTCTGTGCTTCTACTGAAAAGTAGGGTTGTCCTTCCAGGATGCTGTACACTAACTTGGCACTGTTTCCATAGGTGGGGTCATCCGCGTCTGAAGCTGTCACCTGGATCACTGACGTTCCTTAAAAGTGAAACATTCATTAGAGACAGTCCCTCCACTTTTCAAATAATATTTACTTTGCAAATTTTGTCTTAAGATTAAAAACTAACAAGAGCCCCCAAATTATTCAATATGCTTTGATTTTCCAGACTGAGATGCAAAAATAATTTCCCTCCCTCCTTCCACCCTTTTTAATCCCCATAGCTTAAAAATGAACTTTCTATATTCACAGTGCATCCTGCTATGCTTAGCAGTTAAAATAATAATGTGAACAGTATTGCAAAAACATTCTAAGGTCCATACAACTGGAATGTTCAGTATATCAAATAATTAAATAAAAATCTTCCCAAAGAGTATAATAAAGGATAATTAATGATGAATTGCTTTTCATGAAAGGACAGAGTGCGGGCTTCCATCTGTAGCAGAGCAATAAATACATCATTTTATTGTTGCTTTGCATGTAATAAAATGGCTGCTAATACTACATTTTAATTAATTTATGGCCATAAATATTGTACAGAATGTTGTTCCCTACTGGCATGAAAATTGCATCTCCCCACCTCCAATGGGTCTGGTAGTCACACAACAGAAATCACCAGTAGACATCTGGTGAGATCTAAGGCCAGCAATTGCGAGCCACAGTGGAAGGAAACCAGGGAATTGAAAGAAGAGGGGATTCTTGTTTTTTGTAGGAAAAACCTTTGTTCCTTGATAGTTCCAGATGGGGCAGGGGAGATGGTCGAGGGAGAGAGCTGGTAATTATAGAATTCCTCCGTGCCGAGCACTGTTTGGGGCATGTTCCAAGTATTCTGCCCCTCTGCTAGGTGATTTTTACGTTAATTGTGCTTATGAGTTACTGAGTATGACAGGTAGGAAGTTCTGCAGTCTGTTTTGCAAAGTGGGTCACTGTCAGAGTCAGGATTCTAAACTCTACCCAGCAAACAACCAGGCCAAGGTTCTTTCCGTGACAGTTTCAACAGAGGAGCCAGGTTCTACATGAGAGGCAAGGCAGCCCATTTACACAGCCTCTGTCAGCCCTCTGATCTACAAATTTGCTGCTGATTTTCACACAGCCTAAGAACAAATTTTACTCTTTTTTTTTTTTAATTCTGTAATTCATTTTTTCGTACAAACAATTTTTGGGGGAGGATTCTTCCCACAAAACTAGGCACTATTCTAAATCATGGAGATTTTTAATGGCATTAATAAGCTCTCTTCTCTGTTTTCATGGTAGAGTTTGGGAAAGTATTATTTATGCTTAAATTGCTTCAAGAAATCCACTAAGTTCATTATAACTCTTTGTATTTTACATCTATGTTTATTTAACCCTCATCAGAGTTTACATTATCCTCATGGTATAGATGACAAAATGAAAACTGAGAAGGATGTAAGATGTTGTCTGGGTTGACCTGGCTGGTCAAAGGCACAGCCATGATTCCAATACAGTACTGTCTGACAGCAGACAACTCTCATAGGCCACGACGCAAAATCTGATATTAAGCTGCCCCAAGACATGGGGTCAATGAAAACTCCCCTGGAGCATCCTTTTTGATGACTGGCCTTTTTCCCCTGGCTCAGCTGCTGACATTGTTGTCCTCTATTTAATGATTTCTTTGATGTCTGCTGTTTCTCATTAAAAGTCCCCAGGTGACTACTGAGAAACTGAAGAATTGGGCAAGGCAAAGAGAAGGCAGAATAGGCCCAGCTGGGTTTTTATAAAGTATGAGAAGGGTTTCACGTTAGTTGGGGGAGAAGAAGAGGGCTATTTTTTTTTCCCCCACCACAAGCTCTATATGCAAAGTGGAAGGAGTAGAGTTTTTTATTTATTATTTTTTGGAGTAGAGTTTTTTAAACCTTTATTTATTTGGCTGCCCCTAGTCTTAGGTACTTCATGCAGGATCTATCGTTGCAGTGTGCAGACTCTCTGGTTGTGGCTCACAGGTTTAGTTGCTCCAAGGCATGTGGGATATGAGTTCCCTGACCAGGGATTAACCCCACATCCCCTGCGCTGAAAGGCAGATTCTTAACCACTGGAACACCAGGGAAGTCCCAAGGAGTAGGGTTTTAGAGTCACTTCTGTATCTAACTTTCTTGGGCAAATTGATTCTCAGTCTCTGTGCTTGGTTTTCTCATCTGTAAAATGGGCAGTTTGGCCCTGATGACCCTTAAGCTCATTAGAACTTTAAATCTCTGATTTCATAAGCATACTTACTCCTTGATCAGAACAGCCCTGGTCACTGTCTGAAAAGCAAACCCTTCTTAATATGAGGCATGCTTCTCAAAAGCAAGCACAACTACCTGCATTCTATAAAGTCAAAAAAGAAGTATTGCCAGGAGAATTGTCCACTAACAATGTTAGGTGTCTGTATGCATGATGAAAAACATAGCTGCTTCTGAATTATTCTAACAGATGGTGACATAGTGTCATGGTGAGGTGTATATCCTGGTTCCACTTAATAGCTCAGATGACCTTGAATAAATTATAATTAACTTGTTTCTACCTTTGGTTTCCCATTTGCAAAATATGTCAAATAGGACCTACCTCATTGCAAAAATGAGTCACTGCAAAGATTAAATGCAACAGGGCATGTAAATCATTAATGAGCACTGTGCCTACATGCTACAAACTCTGCTATTACTTATTGAACACCAACATGCACTAGTGACCAGATATATATTATTGATAATCCTACATGACTAGAAACCTTTAGTCCCATTTTACAGAGGAGAAACTCAGGCTAAGAGAACAGATGGAACTGATTCCAAGTCACAAGGTTAACAAGCACCAGGGCCAGGATGGCCTGGGTTCGATTACATTTTTCCTATTCTTCTATACCTCCTCGTATTTTGTAAGGTTACAGTTTAAAACCTCAGGGCAATTTAAAGTATTTGAAACTTCAACTACACACATGAAAATTTTTTGTTTGTTCTTTTGCCACAGAAGCTACAGCATAAATTCTACATCTCGGCTTGGGAGAATGGGCACCAGCCCAGCCACCTGCAGGGACGCCGCGCCCGCAGCGGGTAGGTCCCCCGCCCTTACGCACCCACGTTGGTAGGTCCCGCCCTTACGCACCCACGTTGGTAGGTCCCGCCCTTACGCACCCACGTTGGTAGGTCCCGCCCTTACGCACCCACGTTGGACCTCTCGGGCACGCTGGCGTGATAGGTCTCATGCAAGAACTCAGGGGGGTTGTCGTTAATATCCTGGACCTTGACAACGAATTCCGACGGCGGCTCCAGGGGCCGGTTGGTGTCCCTGTCCACCGCCTGAGCCATCAGCGTGTACTGGGCTCTCTCCTCTCGGTCCAATGTCTTGGTGGCGTGAATGTTCCCTGATTTGTCATCAATCACAAAAATGGTTCCGGCTCCTTCACCTGAGAGAATGTATTTAATGTTCCCATCACCAGAGTCAATATCGGAGTGAAGCTAGGAAGAGAGAAATGGAGACTTGTAATTCCATGGCGGATGCTCTGGGGAGGTAGAGACACACGCACATGCTGTTTGCTACAATACACTGTTTACACGCAGACATACACCCACTGAGCGGGAGACACGCTCATGCCATTTACAAATGAAGAAACATGATCTTAGAGAAGATAACTGTCTTGGCCAAGGGTACACAGCTGGGGAGCAGTGAAGCCAGAGTCCAAACATATTACATATGCACACATATTACATATTACATATGCACACATATTACACATTAAATATGCACACATGTGAAACACATAATACACATTAGTAGAGCCATTTTGAAAGAAATATATCATATTATAGAAAGTAAAAGACACACATTTGAGCAAGAAGTAAATCTTGTAAGTCCTGATTGCCATGCCTTCATTTTCCCTGTGCAAAGACAGCTCTTGTTACCAGTGTCTTGTGAACCCTCTAAGACATATTCTATGCATATGCCAGACTATCTATACAAATACATGTGCTGTGGTTTATTTTTACACAATAAAGTGCACAGCACACACACCACTCCTCAACTCCGCTTTCCTACCACAGTAAATTCAGACGACCCTTCCAAACCGGTACATATCTATTGATCTCATCCACTGTATAGAGGTTATTATTTCAGTCTTCTTCCAAAGGACGCCAAGGTTCCAAAGGACACCAGGCTTTTGTTACTGCAAACAATTCACTGATCAGGATTTCTGGATGACCTGCTGAGTGGCACAGAAAGTATGAGGCTCTGGAGATGGACCCTGCCTGGAGGACCCCCCCTTCTCCTCATAAGCATGGAGTGCGTGGACAGGGTGGATAGACATGCAGCTTCTTAGACTAAAGAAAGACCATCTCCTTGAGATTTTCCCCTCCTTCGACAAAGCCAGGCAAAATCGTGGAACTCACCTAAATCCACACTTGGCAGGGCCAGGAAGTCATCCAGGTCACCTGACTATCCACTTGTGCCTTCTGCCTTCCACTGCTGTGCTTTGTAACATGGCACTCCCCTAAAGACCACATCCAATTTTCCCATAGCAATAAAGTCATTATTGTACTTTGTTGTCCAACCTAGATTTCGGCCGCTATCATCTTAATCTGAGTTCCTTTGCCCTCATTTTACCCTTTATGGGAAAAGATAAGCATTACTTTCACTGTTCTCAGGGGCTTCAAGAATAGGCAGGTGGATAAAAAGCCCTTGGTTCTACCTACTACCTAAGAAAACCTAGTGTAAACTAAACAGTATTATTCTCAGGGAAGTAATAATGATAATAATGCTTATTACTTATAATTATTATCTTAATGTTTATTATAGTGCCATTTTAATATTATTATTAATGTGATTTTAATTATTATTATTATTATCATGAAACCAAGACCTAGAAAGCTTGCCCAGAATCACAAAGCAGGATAGAATACATTGCTTTTTAAAATTTTTTGTATTGTTTCAATTTTCCCCAAAATATCTAATGGGTTTGCATTGCCTCAGTGAAACACCAATTATTTCAGCTCAGAGGGATACCTGTAGGTACAAATTACATTTTGATTTTAGTCTATAGTGCTTCTTAGGGGGAAAAAAAGCATACTTTCCTTCAGAACTTGTTATTCATAACAAGCTATGTGTTGTCATGAAATTATGGCTACACATTTCTTATGAATAACACAGTTTGTAATATACAAAGCTATCTGAATATATGGAAGCTCCAAAGGATGACTCAAATTGTCCCAGTCTTCATACAAGTTTCCACAATGGGGGCAGACATTCCTCTGGCTGTCCTTCTAACCCCCAATAATTGTTTATATTTGTTTGTTTTCTCTGCCTCAGGCTTGTCAAAAGTCAGGGGCTCAGACATGACTGCGGAATGTGGAACAAGGAAGTCAACGCAACACTTCCTTTAATGGAAATCTAGACAAGGAATGTTTCTAGGGACCTTTATATATTACATGCGAATTTGGCAAGACTTGGGAATTAAATTTCATGATCAACCAAGTAAGTGAAAAAATTTAAATATAGTGCTCATTATTTTTTATCTTGCTTTCAGAGTTCAAAGTTGGATATAAATTCCCTTTTGCCCCCTCTCCAACAATGATGAACCACACAACGAGCAATGACATTTATTAGTTTCGACACAAAAAGCAGTTTGGAAATCCATTCAATCCTATCAAGGAATCAGTTGCTGAGGCAGACACGGCCAATTCCTAACTCCCAAGACTGAGGCTATCCCCTCGGCAGAGCACAGCATGATGCAGACTCTGCTCCCTGCAGATCTAAAAGTCCACGGCTTGCCAAATTCCACATTTTCAGAACATCCTAAATCACTCAATCTCGAATGACACCAAATCAAGGTTTTTAGAGAACAAGTCATCTCGTCTAATCCTCCTATTCATGGAGAACTGGAGATCAGCATAATCTCGAAAGGAAGTTCCATAGGATCTAACCACTTTCTTTTTCTTTCTCTCCCCATCCAATCTGACATCTGGCTCGTTCTCACATGCCTAGATTTTTCCCTCCTCTTGTGCCTGCTGTTGCGTTTTAGCAGACACAACAGCTGCTTGCTCCACAGAGATGCCTTCTAGGGCCTGTGTCTTTTGCCCTCCCCACCTTAACACACCCACGGAGAAAGTCCCTCTGGCACAAGTTCTATTTTCTCAGAACAATTCACACACACTCTCCACGTTGTTCAAACCACACAGCTCCTGCCGTGCCTCAAGTCTCTTCTTCCTCTCTGTGCACAGTGCCTGTCTCGTTGATGGAAGGAATTCTATGTGCCGATTATTTCCCCGTGCTCCATTTCTCAAGAATACTTCTACTTTGGGTGTGATCTTTCCATTTTGGGTATAAATGATGAAACTGCTCTGGTACATCTCTTCAGAAAGACCCTTTTCCAACCCTGAACAATATTATCAGGACACTAATATGAACCTCCTCCAAAGATGTCAATTTCATAAATATGGAATGGTAGTCTCATGTTAAGCAGCAACTAAGATAACGTCGTTGGAATCTAAGAGGCTCAGAAAGGAGAACCCCACAGATCTGCTCTTGTCCCTCTCCCGCTTCAGTAGATAACTCCTGCTGATCTTTCAGGTCACAAGTTATTACCATCGTCTCCATGAAGCTTCCCTTCATGCCTCCTAAATTTTGCCACGTAAATTCATCATCACTTCTAGTGAATTTCTTTATTATTCTATTCCTTATTTTAGTTTTTTTTTTTTTAATTGCTTAGGTAAGTGTATCTTTTCCCACTAGTCCCTGAACTCTTTGAGGCCAGGGACTATTCTACTGCAGTTTACCATTTTCCTCCCTCTGGACCATCACATAGCAAGCTTTCTACTCTTATGTGTATGAACATCTATCTCCTTGCCATTAATGTCACTTGCATCTGAAAGATGGCTGTATGTTTTACCACAAGTGATAGCTGGCAGTCAGTTTTTCAAACATATTTTGTTTGTTTTTATATTTGGGTTTGAAATTTGGCTGCATGGCTTGCAGGATCTCAGGTCCCTACTATGGATTGAACTAAATCCCCCATCAGGGGCTCCTCAGTGAAGGTGCCGAATCCTGACCACTAGATCACCAGGGAACATGCCCTCAAACATATTTTGGACCCTTTCTACTCTTGCACTTTTGGAGGGAGTACTCAGAGAATGCAGGATTTCTCAGTAGTACTAGGACTCAACTCTTCTGAAATGGGTTTTGCCATCCTTGAGCCAAACTGGATAGAATCCCACGCATTCCCATGATGCATCCATTCATCTTGTCAAATATGCATAGAGGTGTCCCCAAAACTGGGCTTTGGTGTCAGAACCTGGGGATACAGAACTGAACCTGTTCCTCATGAAGGTAGCTCAGGGTCCAGTGAAGGAGACAGAGGGACACACAGACATGTGTACTACAGGAAGAAAGCTAGGATGAAAATAGTACAGAGCATTATAAGAACACAAAGGCAGGCATCCTAGCTGGGGTTTGGACGTGGTGGGGGAAATGCCCCCAGTTGGAGAATGGTTAAATACATAATCATCATTTCTATTCAAGAGACTACTGGGTAGCCATTAAAAACAGAGTTTTTAGAGTATAATGTCAAGTGCAAACAGAAGTGTTCTTAACATGGATGTCTAGGGATTAGAAAAAATAAATAAATAAATAAAGCTGGAAGGATGAATGAATAGGATTTGGCAGATTTTAGTGATGATCAGACCATTGCTACCTTCCCTCCTAGATTTTTGTTTTGCCAGGACCCCAGTCCAGGGAGGGTGGGGAGTGAGAAGTGAGCATGCAGTTAGAGCAGCCTTACCCTGCCCACGAGCACGGGGTCGGGCCCCGTGTACTCCTCGATCACGAAGAACTGGTTCCAGACCCAACCCCTCTTGGAGCGCTGCAGCAGCTGGCCCTCCTTGCCCTTCTCGTGGTGCCCATGGAACGAGGGTCGCAGGTGGCTCCTCCGGTCCGTGGCGAAGGCCTGGCTGTGGCACAGCATGCCCAGGCACACCAGGGCGGCTTGTAAACAGTAGTTCTCCTTCATTTTTGGTTACGTGGTAGGCACAGGAGAATGTGGCTGTCACCCCGTCCGCCGACCGTGCAGCTGCCTGGTGGATGGCGGCCTCCCCAGACGCGTCACGCAGACCTCACTTCGGCTGGAAGGTCTCTCCCGGCCGAGCACATCACGTCAGGGCTGCCCACGTCCCCGGCCAGCCTCTGCAGGGAGCAGGAAAGGGCAGATTAGTCACAGGTTCCATCCCCACTTACATTATATTCTGTAAACACTGACCCACGCTGGACCCCTGAGGGCTTTGCTCTGGTACTGAGGCAGATGCCAGTGAGAAATAGTCTCCACGATCCGGCCAGTTCGCTCGCTGGATAAGATAAACATACAGGAAGAAACCCCTCAAAGTCTGTATGAGGATAAAACGTGTGTGCTGTGGAGCCCAGCTGCCCAAGTCTGAGAATCAGTTTTACCATTTACTTAGCTCTGAGTTTAGGGTAAGCCAACAAGGAGCTTAGTGTGCTCACGTATGAAATGGGCCGGGGAATCCTACTCTGTGGGAGGTACAGATCTGAGTCACAGCCCTAAGTCTCTTAGCCAAGACCTGGTATGTGGTCAGCACTTCATAGTTATCTGTTATTACTAGATTAATGATCATGGGACTTCCCCTGGTGGCTCAGACAGTAAAGCGTCTGCCTACGACCTGGGAGGCCTGGGTTCAAACCCTGGGTCAGGAAGATCTCCTGGAGAAGGAAATGGCAACCCACTCCAGTATTCTTGCCTGGAAAATCCCATGGACAGAGGAGCCTGGTGGGCTCTAGTCCATGGGATTGAAAAGAGTCTCAGACACGACTGAGCAGCTTCACTTTCTTTCATTATATTAATGATCATAATCATTCTTGGCTATGTTTTTGTAGTAGGGAAACCTAGGGTGCTATGGCCATTCCCTAGAGGAATACATAGCTGAGGGGGATTGAGGATGAAGATGGCAGAGAGTAGGGACACTGTTAAGGAAGACGTCCAGAAGGGTGGGATGGCAGGGATCGACTCTCAGATGAGTTACTGTGATAAGAGTGGTATGGATGGGATGTCCAGGTAGAAGGAACGGCATGCCCCAAAGCCCAGAGTTGTTCACAAGCACAGTACTCCCCAAGACTGTTCAGCTTACTGGATGGCATTATGGAAAGAGGAAGCCAGCAATGACTCAAGATATGTGAGGTCAGGGCAGACCCTGAGATGGTCAGTGATGGCCATTAAAACATTTGTCATTGAAATAATGGGTCAAATTTGCATTGTTGGGTCAATATAGTGTCAATTCAATAAGCACGATTTGCTTTTGTCCAGTCAAATGTCCACCAAAGAAGATGAAAATCCTACCTTAACCTGACAGTCTTTCTAAGCATACTCTATAGGCTCCCTTCAACAAGGAAAAATAAAACAGCATTCCCCACCAACTGGTCCAAAGGTCATGTTGCTGGCACTCAGCCATGACTCCGCTACTCATCAACAGTAAGGATGAGCCACTAACACATTTCCATGCCTCTGTGGTTTCTCCCCTATAGTCACTCTAGTCTTCTCTCCAGCACTCTGGTTCTTCTCTCTGATCTTTAACTCCTGCCTCAGGTTTCTCGGCTTCTTTATGGGAATGTCTTTCTGGTGCCGGAAACTTATTCTTCCCCAAGGAACTTCCAGTGCTCATTCTCCTGTCTTAGGATCCCACACCTTCTTCTGAACAATCATCATCTCCTCTTGGAACACCTCTCGGACACAAGTTGGAGCCTGAGTTCCCAGAACCAGATGGTCCTCACTACTGCCCTTACTTGTAACATTAGGAGCTCTCAGAAAGTTGCTGGGCATGGAGGTTGAAACTACATTTCAACACCTGTGGGTCTAAATGAAATTGGTGAGCTTCTTTTTTATTTTTTTTTTTAATTGAGAGGTACAGTTGATTTACAATTGTGTCAGTTTCAGGTGCATAGCAAAGCAATTCAGTTATATGTACCTGTGTGTGTATACATATTAATGTTCTTTTTCATATTATTTCCCCTCATAAGCTATTATAAAACACTGAATTTAGTCCCCTGTGGTATACAGTAGGCCCTTGTTATTTATCTGCTTTATATATAGCGGTGTGCATATGTTAATCCCAAACTCCTGATTTATCTCCCTCACTCCATTCCTTTTTAAGGGAACTCCATTTCCCCTAAAAGGGGAAGAAACGATACATTTGTTTTCTGTGTCTGTGGTTTTATTTCCGTTCGGTAAATAAGTTCATTTGCATCATTTATTTTAGATTCCACATATAAGCAGTATCATGATATTTGTCTTTCTCTGTCTGGTTTATTTCACTTGGTATGATAATCTCGAGGCCCAACCGTGTTGCAGCAAAGGGTTTTATTTTATTCTTTTTAATGGCCAAGTAGTATTCCATTTATATGCCACATCGTCTTTATTTCTCTGTCTCTGGACGTTTACTTAGGTTGCTTCCATGTCTTGGGTATTGTAAATAGTGCTACAATGAACATTGGGGTTCAGGTATCTTTTCGATGGTAGTTTTCTCTAGATATATGCCCAGGAATAGGATTGCAGGTAGTCTTATTTTTTTGTTTTTTAAGGAACTTCCGTACTGTTCTCCATAGTAGCTGTACCAGTGAAATTGGTAAGATTCTTGAACATTGTATGAATAAAAACCATCACCTAATTCTTTGTTATCTGATTTGGACAAAGTGGTTGGATGGGGAGAGAGGTGAACAGAAAGGAGATAGTATGCATCTTGGCAGAATGGAATATATCTAGATTTGGAGGTTGGGTTGACCTGAACTGAAATATCATTGTATATTTCAATCTGGGTGGCCTTGGGCACATTGGCCAGGCACTCTGAGGCTCCAAGGTCTAATCTGAACAACGGGGATGAAAAGAACTGGTGTACACATGCAGGGCTAAAGACAGAGAGGGAACTGGGCACACACTGGGTCTCCTCCTCTCTTTCCAGAGCTCCATGGTCCAAGTCTGTGGGCCTCACTCAGCAGAAGGAAATGCTCTGATCTGCAGGTGGAGATGCCCTGAAGACAGGGGTGAAGTGCTTTCTCTAAGAGAGGAATTGAGGAATAAGAGTTATATGGAGATACCAGAGCCATCTGTCCTTAGAAGTCTCAGAAATAAGGGAACTGGTGGAATTCTACTTTGCTGGTGAACAACCCCTTTTCTTCTGAGGCTCTTTGATTTCACCAACCCAAGCCGTTCTGAGGCTTTATAATATGGCAAAATGGTATCTGGGGAGGTCACACATGTACAGTCACTCCAAGTATCCATCACTGCCCTCAATACTATTTTGTGATGTATTATGTAAGTCCCTTTTCAAGGAATAAGGACTTCAGTATTTGCTGTAGACAGACTCCAGGATATGTTAAAGGCTGTGTATAAAAGAGAGAAAGATTCAGGAGGCAGTGTGGTCACTTAACGTCTTCACCCGAGACTTGGGCATATCAATACTACATCAAATGCTGCTTCTTGTAAGGCAAACGACTGCATGGAAGGGACCAGGAGGAATTAAATCCTACAGTGAGGTAATGTGAAGTCATAGGAAGATGCCTGCATTTAAGTTAGAAAGCCAACATTATGATTAAGAATCTGCCACTAAGCTTGTGGTGGGGCATGCCTCAGCTCTGAGAATGGCAGCTGTGCCTCATTCTCTGTAAAGAGAAGCCAATGGGTGATATTTTCTGCAGGTGGTTTCCAGGTTCACATTCTCATTTGGATGAAAGATTTTGGAGGTATTTCTGATTCATAACACCATCTCCTTACTAGACTGGTTGCTTCTTAATGGTTGGGATGATATCTTACTCACAACTGGGTGGCCAGTGCCTGAGCAGGACACCAGTAAAAGCTAAATATATGATTTGAACCCCATACTTCAAGTGCAAACTTGATAATGCCTCCATAGAATCTCGAGAGGAAGAAATAGAAAAGCAAAAGCATATGGTGCAACAAGATCTCTGCCCATTTCACACCACACCAAGTATTAAGTGTTCATTCACACAGTGATAAATTATTCTTGCATATACTGTGAAGAGTATTTAAAAGAAAGGGTTTAATTAAAGTTGATATTTCTGCACCTCTTTCTTCTGGCTGCCATTTTGCTGTAAAGTGCAATTTTTTCTGACACTAAATGTGTTGAAACTAGACGACAACTTTTTTTTTCTTTATAAAAAATTTCTAGATTGATACTAACAAATTTAAGTTTCCATGTGACCAATAAACAATAAATTTTGCCCTTTGTTAAAAAGGTGATACATTTCACCCTTTGTTAAAAAGGTGAAATTATCTATTTTCTTCTGTTGGAAAGAATAGCAAGATCAACTTGCTTTTAAAAGTAGTTCCTTGAAACCATTATTTATAAGTGCTTATATGACTGTGTGTATTATATAAAGTTATTTTAATGGTAAATCTCAGGTATGTTAAGATAAATTTTTAAGACATTGTTTTTTAATTCAATTTTGGAATGAAAATATACTGAGCAAAATCTTTTTCTAGCCATTGCTCTAAAATCTTTATAAACAGTAACTCATCTATTAATTTCTATAACAAACTTATGAATGGGAACTGTGAATATTCTTATTTTAAAGGATGGAAACTAAGATCTGGATAGATTAAGCAATTTATGCAAAGTTATGCTTCTGATAAATCATAGCACTGAGTCTGAGCCCATGACAGTTGGCTCTGGAGTCTGTCTTTAACCAGTGAGCAATACCAGCTGTCACTACTTGTTGGCTTCTGAGGTTCATAAAGGAATGGTATGGACACTGTGATAGAAATAGTAACCTAGATGCAGTGAACCAATAGGAGAACTAGGTTTATGCTCATAATATGATTACGATGAAAATGGTAATAACAGTTAACATTTGCCCAGTCTTATTGTT